CACATCAGCGGTGAGAGCGCGGCTCCAGGGCCCCGGACCGTCCCCGCTGCGCCGCGCCGAGGATGCACCACGCTCCCCGGGGCCTGAAGCACACGCACACGCACGCACCGCCGTTTACCCCCCCTCCCGCCCCCCCTCTGTCCGCCCGCACGCGCCGCTCCGTCTCACACGAGGGTTTTTTTTAACGCGAAAAATGGCGAACGAGTCTCCGGCGAAGAGTCTGGGGAGATCGACCTGGCGTCTCTGCGGGTAAGACACCGCACCCCGCACCCGCACCCCGCACCCCGCACCCCGCACGTCCCGCAGCGTCCCCGCACTCCGCCTGACACGGTCCCCGGCGCCGCTCCAGTTTTTCTTTTGTCTTTAAATCCGCGCTCGGCTCTGGAGGCCGGCGGGGCGGCGGGGCGGGCGGACCGGGCTCGCAAACCAAACACACCCTCTTCCCAAATAATAATAAAAAAAAAAATCCCAAATAAAAATCCCCAAAATAATCCCCACAAATGTCGCTTTTCTCTTGCAGGATCCGGCTGGAATATTCGAGCTCGTGGAGGTGGTCGGGAATGGAACGTACGGACAAGTTTACAAGGTGAGCGCTCGGGCCTAGACACTCTGCATTTATTTATTTATTTATTTATTTCGCTTTTTTTGTTGTTGTTTTTTTGGACTCGCAGTGATCGCGTTTGGCACGTTTTCAGCGCGTGACCCGATTCACTGCGTTTAGTTTTGACGAATTTGTCCTGCTGCTTCTTCTTCTTCTTCGGATTCCACAGCAGCAGCATCCTCCTCCTCCATGTCCACGCGCGGGCCTGTGCATCACGTTCAGCCGATTCGTTTTTTTTTATTTTCTGTTTGGGTTTTTTGCGTCAGATTTGTCCCGCACGCGCTGGACGATCGCGGGTTTTTCGTGCGCTCGGTCACACGGTCGTTTTTACCCGTTTTTTCCCGCATCCTCGCGCCGCTCCCCGGGATGCAGGCGCCCCCCCCCCAGCATCCACGCCCCTCCGCGCATCCGTGCTCGTCCCGGTGCTCGTGGACGCGCGCGTGGAGTGCGGGCGCGCGCACGAGGGGCTGAGGTGGTTAAACGTTTTTTGTGCGTAAAACGTGCGCGTGTAAGATGGAGGATGCGCGTGCGTGTTCTGGGCGTGTGAGCGGCGCGATACTGAAATATCGATACCGACGCGTCGAAGAGGAGACTCGATTCTTTGACCAAAACGAGAATAAAACGGTTTTTTTAGACAGAAGGATGAAACCAGGACTAAACCAGGACTAAACCAGGACTAAACCAGGACTAAACCAGGTCTAAACCAGGACTAAACCAGGTCTAAACCAGGTCTAAACCAGGTCTAAACCAGGACTAAACCAGGAAACCAGGAATAAACCAGGACTATATCAGATCTAAACCAGGTCTAAACTAAGCCAAGACTAAACCAGGTCCTTGGACTTATTCTTGTTCTGATTCAGCTCCAGATTGTTCTAAACACATTCAGGAAAGGTTCTAAAGGTTCTAAAGGTTCTGCTCGGTCTTGAAAATTAGACTTTTTCAGGATCCAGACCCGAGGAACATGAGGATCTAGTTTCAGTAGTTTTAGTATCGATCAGGATCTGATTATTGAAACTTTTGACAAAACTAATGTCGCCTGAAATACTGAAATACTCTGATTTAGTCCTGGTTCAGTTCTGGTTCAGTCCTGGTTCAATCCTGGTTCAGTCCTGGTTTAGTCCTGGTTTAGTTCTGGTTTAGACCTGGTTCAGTCCTGGTTTAGTCCTGGTTCAGTCCTGGTTCAGTCCTGGTTCAGTTCTGGTTCAGTCCTGGTTCAGTCCTGGTTCAGTCCTGGTTTAGTCCTGGTTCAGTCCTGGTTAGTCTGGTTCAGTCCTGGTTCAGTCCTGGTTCAGTCCTGGTTCAGTCCTGGTTCAGTCCTGGTTTAGTCCTGGTAGTCCTGGTCCTGGTTCAGTCCTGGTTTAGTCCTGGTTCAGTCCTGGTTCAGTCCTGGTTCAGTCCTGTTTAGTCCTGGTTCAGTCCTGGTTCAGTTCTGTTCAGTCTGGTTCAGTCCTGGTTCAGTTCTGGTTTAGTCCTGGTTCAGTCCTGGTTTCAGTTCTGGTTTAGTCCTGGTTCAGTCGTGGTTTAGTTCTGGTTCAGTTCTGGTTCAGTCCTGGTTCAGTTCTGGTTCAGTCCTGGTTCAGTCCTGGTTCAGTCCTGGTTTAGTCCTGGTTCAGTCCTGGTTCAGTTCTGGTTCAGTCCTGGTTTAGTTCTGGTTCAGTCCTGGTTCAGTCCTGGTTCAGTTCTGGTTCAGTCCTGGTTCAGTCCTGGTTCAGTCGTGTCAGAACCTGTGCAGGTGTGAACACATGACCTGAGTCAGATGTTTACGGAGCAGAAATCAGATCATGATCAGATGTTTTGGTGCATTTAAACTGGAGATGAATCAGTCACACGACTAACGGACAAAACTGTGGAATAAAAACTCAGGTCACAGCTCAGGTCACAGCTCAGGTCCAGAATTTTGGAACATTTCCCAATATTCCAGAGTGAAGTGGAGTCGATGAATGATCATGTCTCCTCCCATGATGCATCTGGAACAGTTGGTGTGGACCTGATGTCTCTGGTTCTGACCTGATGTCTCTGGTTCTGACCTGATGTTCCTGGTTCTGACCTGATGTTTCTGGTTCTGACCTGATGTCTCTGGTTCTGACCTGATGTCTCTGGTTCTGACCTGATGTTTCGGGTTCTGACCTGATGTCTCTGGTTCTGACCTGATGTCTCTGGTTCTGACCTGATGTTCCTGGTTCTGACCTGATGTTTCTGGTTCTGACCTGATGTCTCTGGTTCTGACCTGATGTCTCTGGTTCTGACCTGATGTTTCTAGTTCTGACCTGATGTCTCTGGTTCTGACCTGATGTCTCTGGTTCTGACCTGATGTCTCTGGTTCTGACCTGATGTCTCTGGTTCTGACCTGATGTTCCTGGTTCTGACCTGATGTCTCTGGTTCTGACCTGATGTTTCTAGTTCTGACCTGATGTCTCTGGTTCTGACCTGATGTTTCTGGTTCTGACCTGATGTCTCTGGTTCTGACCTGATGTTTCTGGTTCTGACCTGATGTTTCTGGTGTGGACCTGATGTCCCTGGTCCTGACCTGATGTCTCTGGTCCTGACCTGATGTTCATGGTTCTGACCTGATTCTGTCTGACTGATGTTCTGGTTCTGACCTGATGTTTCCTGGTTCTGACCTGATGTTCCTGGTTCTGACCTGATGTCTCTGGTTCTGACCTGATGTCTCTGGTTCTGACCTGATGTTTCTGGTTCTGACCTGATGTCTCTGGTTCTGACCTGATGTCTCTGGTTCTGACCTGATGTTTCTGGTTCTGACCTGATGTCTCTGGTTCTGACCTGATGTCTCTGGTTCTGACCTGATGTTTCTGGTTCTGACCTGATGTTTCTGGTGTGGACCTGATGTCCCTGGTCCTGACCTGATGTCTCTGGTCCTGACCTGATGTTCATGGTTCTGACCTGATGTCTCTGGTCCTGACCTGATGTTCGTGGTTCTGACCTGATGTCCCTGGTTCTGACCTGATGTCTCTGGTCCTGACCTGATGTTTCTGGTTCTGACCTGATGTTTCTGGTGTGGACCTGATGTCTCTGGTTCTGACCTGATGTTTGTGGTTCTGACCTGATGTTCGTGGTTCTGACCTGATGTTTCTGGTGTGGACCTGATGTCTCTGGTCCTGACCTGAGTTGGCGTCGGTGGGTTTGATCTGGTGCAGATTTGACTGTGACACAAACAAAAACCAACTGGACCAAGAGTTTGTGGTTCCACTAGAATGTGCGGAGCACCTCCTGCTGTCGCTGTGAGAGACAGTGTGTTCAGACCAGAGTGTGACGTGTCCGGGTCACGTTCACACTGTGTGGACGCTCGTCCAGGACGTCGACGTCACGAGTTGAAAAAGTTGAAGTTTCAGTGTCGGACGCAGCGTGTCGACCAATCAGAGACGAGTATCCAGAGACACAGAGACGTTAGAACCTGAAAGACGAAGAACGAGAAAAACCCAAGAACCACAAACACCAGAACAAGAAACTGTAGAACGAGTCTTTAGAGGAGAATAAATCTAAACCTGCTGCAGTCATGGAGTCGATCTTCTTCTCTGATGTTTTTATCATAAAATCACTGAAGTCTCTCAGTCTGGTCTGTGGTTCTGGGAAAAGACGAGAAATGTCTCTTGTTTCCAGGGCAACAGACGTCCTGGACACGCCTCTGTATTTTTCTCTCGTTGGTCCGACGTGTGTCAGTGTCGTCTGAACTCAAATTCTCCAACTCGACACGTTTGTCTCGTTAATATTTGTGTTTGTCTCATTAATATTCACATTTATCTCGTTAACTTATATTTTGGTCTTTACAAGTAAATTTGTGTTTGTAAATATATTTTTCATTTGCAAAAAAATTCAAACTACAATTGAAAAACTGAAAATTGTGTTTGATCACAGTCGGTCGAGTCGGTGTCGGGAAACACACCGACAGTTTCACCGCGTGGTTTTTTTGGCCCAAATATTTTAGTTATTTTGGAACCAAAAAAAACCCAAAAAACACCCTAATGAAATCTCCAAATAAACTTAGTTTTCTTCTACTTTAATGATAATAATAAATCACTTTTATTATACACAAGGGGTTTTTAACACAATTGGAAAAGAGTGTGTGGAAGTATAAGCATTTATTCTCACAACTCGACACGTCCGGTGGGTTTTTTGACCTTTTTTCTGGTAAAATCGTGTAACGCACAAATACTGAAACTTTGGTAATGAGACGTGGTTCTTTTTCAGTTCAGTAGAACGTGGCTGTTCTTACTGTTCTGTGTGTGACACAGTCGAGGTCCTGAGGAGGACGTCCACTCCCACAGTCCCACCTCAGGGTCAGCGTAGACCAGTGGTGCTCAATACGTCGATCGTGATCCACCAGTCGATGACCAAGGGTGGTGTGTGTAGTTCACCGTGTCTCGTCTCGGACTCGTGTTTGGACTCGGTCTTGTCGCTCACTCGAGGTCTGAAGGTTCATTCACACCAAAGCGTCAAAAAACACCTTCACGTCTCTATTTGGAGCCTTTGCATTTGAGTTCAGACGCCCCCGACGCTCGTGTCTTTGACTCTGTGGACGAACGGGACAAAAATACTTGACGTGCGTCTGTTGCCCTGGAAACAAGAGCCCGGTCCTGGACTTTTCCCGAAACAATGTCAGACCAGACTGAGACTTTAGTGTTTTTATGACATAAAACATCAGCGGAGGAAATCGACTCGACGACTGGGGCGTATATATATTTATACACTGGATCAGTCCCGGTCTAGTCCTGGTCTAATCACGGTCTAGTCCCGGTCTAGTCCTTGTTTAGTCTTGGTCTAGTCTCGGTCTTGTCCTTGTTTAGTCCCAGTCTAGTCCTGGTTTGGTCCTGGTCCGGTCCTGGTTTAGTCCTGGTCCAGTCCTGGTGTAGTCCTGGTGATCGGCTCGGTGTTTGTGGCGTATATATTTATGGTCTGCTCATGTTTGTGGTTCTGGTTCTCGGGTTCTGCTTCCTGATAATAACGTCGCTGCGTCTCTGGATACTCGT